TCACCTGATGGTAAGTGTCGCCGTCCGTAAACAACTGTAACACCGGGGGAATTGCGGGTGCGCTGCCGGCCTTGTTTTTTTTTAAAGAATATTAACAATGCTATAAACATAACTAATATTCCCCTTAACCACTCGTGGTAAGCTTAAATTGCTTGTGTTACGAGTGGTTCACGCCAGTAGTCGAATGGTGGATTCGAACCCACGACCTTTTTGAGTTCGCAGTCCGCGCCCTGCCATTAGACTACTGTCGCTTTTAAAAAGGAGTGAGCTCGTTTCTTGAACGTTCCTACGTTGTATCGTATGTCACTTTCATTATTTTTTTAAATTAAAATCACGTGACTAAGGAACTTACAGTCCACCTGAAGAGGCTTTACATGTTTCTGTCCCCAAATGGCACCAGTTGTATAGATATGGAGGAGACGGCCACGACCAGCTGCTGCTTTGTGCTGACGAAGAAGAAGAATAGAACAATAAAACTTACCGTTACAGCCTAAGTCCACTGCTGAACATAGGCCTCCCCTATTAATTAAGTTATATAGAGAAATCAATCACGATGTTGATGATGACGATTACCGTAGTTGCTGGACTTGACAGGCAGGTTAGCCACCGCAAGTTTTATTGTCTATTTGGTTAGACGCTGCTGCACATCTCCTGGTGTCCTTCTTCACCACTAAAGCACGGTGTAGCTGATGAAACAGACGTACGTACACGAAAATGGAACTTGTCATAAATAACTTCAAATAAATGGAATATTCAGTAAAATAAAATTTGAATAAAATTTTCTAGAAAACTAACTAAAACAAATATTGATAAAGATTTGAATGGCTCACTGAAATTTCTCTCGCCAGTATCTGAAGAGAAACGCGCTTCAGAACTTTAGTCTTAAGGAAATTCAGGAAAAAACTGCGCCGTTATAATGTAAATGTTCAGTTTACAAACGCCTGCATGAGTCTGCAATTATTTAAAGACTTGGAGGCTTTGCCTGATGAATCTTCTGGTCACATAATGTACGTTTGCTTGTGTTGTATTTCTTTGTATACATATATGACGCCGTCTATGTGGTAAGCTTATGTACAGTATTCAGATCATATAAATATGACGGATCTTTTTGCGTGATAGCTTCATCTTACACTCCTGTCTTTGTGTGTGTATGCCGTAGGCATACCAACTCAAAGATTTTCACCATCAAGTATTTTTTTAGTTTCATTATGTAATTTAAAAAGAAACGTTACTACCATACCACGATTTTCTCCTGTAGTGTGGAGGCAGTTTACGAGAGAGGGAGAGTGGAGGAGTTTATTTCACGAGACAATATTTATCCATACAAATATTTATCCATGTCGAATTCAAACTACCAGCCCTCTTCGCTGCAACTTATTGCAAATCCGTCACCACACGAGCCATCAAGATGTGGAAAATTTAGAGTGATGTAGTGTTTATGATTGATTTCTCTTTTGTTTTCATATTTCGTACAGTACATACTATAATAGTAACCAGATCGAATTTAATATTTAAGATATCGCATTGTATACCTGCATATTATCCAATAAGTTGTAGTTATTCTCGAAATTCATCGTGGTTTTAATTCCTCTATACAATATAACTTAACGCGGTCTTCAGAATGTGAAATTAATTTATTAAGTTCAGTTTTTGAAGCCGGCTCTTACTTCTTATCAAAATTCATTTTTATATTCATTCGGTACAGTCAGCAGTTCGCGATTTTGTTCACACGAACACACTGTACTTGTGAGGGCTATACTGCGGATATATTACGGTTGTAGCACGAATGGGTGAGCTCGACCGGAGCGGGACGATGCTCTCACAGAATACCAGGGTAAAGTATTATATAGCCAGATTAACGCTGCTGTATTTCGTATGCTGAGTGTCGAGAACCGGAAACCGTTTCACTGGAAACAAGGCATTCCATTTTACTCCATAGGAGTGACAAAGCATCTGCAGTTTGATTCTTTATTGAAGATTGATGTAGATCTCTATAGCACACAGTACCCACTTTTAAACTGTAATGTTGACCGGGGATTCGACCACCACACATAGTCGTATTATTAGTGGAGCAAAGTAATACGCAGATGCGCGCAGATGCGTTCAGCTTGGTTTAATCCGAGAGGGTGAGCAACATAACAATCATGTAGGTACTTGACACTTGCGATCATGCGGTTCTTAAAACTAACTACCCTACAATACACATATATTACACAAACAGGTGGACTGTGTGCACATTTGACGTACTTATTCTATAAAAATACTATCGGTACGTATGTTCTATTATTTCTTCTGTGCTGTCAGACCTTTGTAACTTTTATCAATACATATAACAAATAATGTCAAAATAACAGCTTTTTACTAAATTCATATGAAAGCTTATACTGTACTTATAAGAAAAACACAATTTTTAAAATTCTTGTCTGTCTGTCCGTATGTTCCGGCTAATCTCCAAAACGGCTGGACTTTCACTGGCGTGTAGCTTCTAATATTATAAGGAGTAACTTCGGCTACTTTTATTTTAGAAAATGAATTAGCATTATAAGCAAAAAAGTTGAAACCCTAAATTACAAGCGGGCAAAGTCATGGGGAATAGCTAGTGTTGAAATAAACTTCACAAAATGGAAACCACTTTAGTAAAATATTGCAGATTCCGATGTATTCACTCAGGAAAAGCTTATAAATGTAGAAATCTGTGCGAACGACATCGGAGTGCTGGAGCGTAGTGCGCACCCCGGTGTGCAATACAATAGTTGCTTTTAAAATTTTCTCACAACCGCAATCGCGGACAGGGTTGCCAACAGAATTTATTTATATTTCATTGAAAATACTAGCAGAGCTGTTCTACTAGTTTTGTGTATTACTATTAGGCGGTGGGACACCTTTTCTGTCTTGAAGACGCGTCTCACGACACCCGCGGGATTACAATGTGATGTAGAGAATTCTCGTCGTAAAAAAATATAAATATCACTACTATAAGGTAATCTATGGGAAGGCCTATGTTCACAAGTAAACTGTTGATAGGCTGTTAGGAATGTGATGAAGGGTAATGAAGAAACACCAAGTCTTCCTGCCGGGCTAGCATGAGCGGGGGACAATATATCCCCGGGGAGAGGATACAATTTTTATCCCTTGCTTAATTTTATCCACCCTGCGAGCATGGGCAAGAGACAAAAATTATATCCCCCGATTATATCCATTGACGAGAGATAAAATTGTCTTATATCTATAGTATATCCCCGTTTGACATAACGAGTAGACATATATCTCCCCGTCCGTAGCATGAGGCCAAGGGAAAGAGAAAAAATTATCCCTTTTTGACATTTGAAAGGGACAATTTTATCCTCTTTCGCGCACGTGGGTTTAAGTTTATCTTCAAACCATTTTAATACGAAAAAGATGTCTCGAGCCCATTGCAACTACATTTTCGTGTCAGAAATTGAAAAACAAGAAAGAAAATTACACCAGCGATCGATACGTGATCAGAATACTTAATCTATTGGAATTCTCCGACAACGAATTTCTACGCCGGTTTCGGATGCTCAAAGATTGTTTTGTATTTGTGTAAATAACTCTATGAGGCTTTAAAGTCTATTAATTCTGTCCTTGTCCAAAAACATCGTATATTTGCAATCAATACATGTGGCTTATGTAACTTATCTTAATATTTTTCTAGGTAGGTAGTTTATATCTTTCAGTCTCTTGGTAGATGGTAGTTACCTACTAGAGAGGTACGATTCAAGACCATGGCATGGCTGTTGTTCAAACAACAAATAATCAGCAAATACTTGACCTAAGTTATTGGGGCCATCATTAGAATGTGTGGAGCAATATACTTTAATTAACCTCTTGTGTAGGTAAATACAAGTTTAAAGACTAATATACATAATATTAGAAATACAAATAACACAATACTCATGATTATAAAATTATTTATTCCTTGTTTTGTTTGAAATCATTACATTTTTATTCTTCATGCTTCATCATTTTCAATTAAAATCAAATCTTTGTGACTTAGAGTAGGCATCAATTTTGATGTATTTTGTAATTTTCTTATAATGGCAGTAATTGCGGGGATAAATTTTTTTTTAATTTCCTCAAGAGGTTACACCACCTCCAAAGGGTCTGTATTGTCCAGTTTCGCAATTGGCTTAATTCTAGACACATATTTTTTTTAATAAATGCTATCACAAGCGAAGTAATACCTGCGATTTGATACAAGCAATGTATACTTAACTTAAATATTATACAAAAGAAAATAAAGAAAGAATTAGAATAATAGAAAAAATAAAAGCAAGGCAGAAATACGCTTAAAATAAATATAACAAATATTATAAATGACATATTGTTTAACAAAAATTATTAACAGTTTAGCAATATAATAAACAAAAGGTAAAAGAAAATATAAGTTAATGTAAATCTACTTAATCTTAAAAGAAGTTTATAGCTAGTATAGTTTATAGCTTTATACTATCGTACAAAGATGTTTTATAAAACATCTTTGCTATCGTATATTATCTATGCGCGGGGATAAGTTTATATACTGTCGATATTATATCCACCATAGGCCCATGCTCGCAGGGTGGATAAAGCTTTGACATAGGGATAAGACAATTTTATCCCTTGTCAGTGGATATAATCGGTGGATAAAATTTTTATCCCCTGCTCATGCTAGCCCGGCTGGTGGAATACATCCTCGATTAAGATGGCGCCTGTTGCCTAAGTTTGAATGACTCTTCAAAAGTAAAAAGGGTTTCCGGTTCTCGGCGGTCGCTATACGAAACACAACAACATCAATTTGCTATTTTACGCTGTTATTCTGTGACAGCGGGGTCCTTCCGTGGTCGAACCGACCCATTTACGCTACAACTATAATATAGCTGCAGCGCAAAAAAAGTAAAATATACTTCGGGATGAAGTAGTATTCAGATATATCAGGTATAGATCGGGCACAATACTGTTAACTTTACGTACTGTCGGAGGCACGACGGTGAAAATCACTAATTTCGAGACTCAGGGCTGCTTAGCAGGTAAAGAAGAAACCCAGTTTGAGGGCTATCATTCTTCAAATCCTCTCTGTTTTTTGAAACAATGTTCAAAATTTAATTTTTGTTGGTATGCATGTTATTATCTTTTTTTTAAATATGTGTATATATACGTTTTACGTCTTCAGTATTTTTTTCGTCATATCCGGGTTAAAGTTCAGTTTATTATTATAATAATATTAACATATACATTTTTGATTTATTTTTCTTAATTTATTTTTGTTCCTTTATGTACGCCCCGCCGAACATTTGCATTGTAGCAGCGCACCGCCTGGCAGAGTTGCCATATAATGTGGAAGTTGTTAAATGAAAAGGGGACTTGTTACTCCTGTTATGGCTTTAATTATACTGTTCCTTTATTATAAGCTTAACTTTAATATATAACAATACGGTGTGAGCTACAAACGACATCACAGGGGATATTTTTCATAGGTGCCACGCTTGGTAACAGAGTAGGCAGCCGAAATGTTTCACTATTTCGGGTTGTTATCAGAAAGACTCTGCCCATCTCCTATTTCAGTTTCAGTCACATTTTATGACACCTGCACGCATGTTACAGAGTATCGGATGTTATTTCACCGACACTACACGGTTAAAATAAAATCCGAGTCAACGTGGTGTCAAATAAAAATCCTTTCACTCCGAATGTCAGCCAGCATTAATATGATGCATTAAGCCCACTAAGTGGTAAGACTCCTTTCTGGCTGAGAGTCGGTCTGGGCAGATACCGCCCTCTTAAATATTTGTGTCGCCAAGCCGCCAGTATATATATATATATATATATATATATATATATATATATAATATAAGCCGGTATAAATACTTAAATACCACATCTTAGTCCTCACAGGTGAAAATGCATCTGTAGTGTTCTGTGTTTGAGGTTGGTTGCAGGTGTTCAATGATTGCAGAACAGGTGGACTGTGAGTTCATTTGTCACTTCAGCTTTATAAAAACAATGTATGGGGTATAGCGAGGCCTCCGTTATATGTTCAGCAGTAGACCTATGACGGGCTGTAATAAATTAAATCATTATAATTTCTGCTCAGTCTCACGGCATTCCGTACATTCAAATCAGCGCAGTGAAAATGTCAGCGCGTTCCGTCGCGGTCGCGGCGCGTCATTATTAATTAATTAAATTCTGTCGCACGACTCTCTCCGGCTGTCCCATATCAAAACTTAATATGTGACACTAGATCGTAAAATATTTATTGCAAGTGTTCTCGTTTTTTTTTCAGAGTTACTATGCAAATAAGATTTTAAATAAAATCATTTGTTTTAAGATTCTATTCAAACTCTTACTTGTGTAGTAGCATTTTACAGAAAGATGACAAAAGTTGCAATAAATATTTAATCATATATTTTTATCTTATTCAATTATTAGTAATTTGTTATCTTCGTTATCATTATCAATAAAATTACAGCACTTCATAAGTGCAATGTTGATATTATACCTATATTCTACAGGCCGTACCATAGGCCTCCCCCAAAACTTGAAATTTGTAACTAGTTTTTAAAATTTCCTATTTACAAAACTAGATAATATAAAAGTGGTCACTTATTAAACTTTTTAGTTTATAATATGCATCACGACCAGAAAAAATCGGTTCACGATGAAGATAAGAGGTGTCTGTGATTTTTTCTATCGAGAAAATGTTATTCTATTATGTTTTTAACCAATAATGTCCCTCAAAACTACGATGTAATATTCATATTACTATTTTTTGTTACTTTGTACTTGATTTAGCAATGTAAAACTCCGATCTACGATTGGCTATTTGTGGTCGTACGCGCTCTTAATCTAGGATAAATGTAGATGTATTTGAACCACAGCATCGACTTACTATTAGGTGGTCCTTTTGCTTGTTTGTCAGCATAATTCTTAAAAAAAAAACTTTTAAAAAAAAATTTAAGAAAAAGATAAAATAATTTGTTTAATAAAAGAATCGCCGAAACAACGAACAAGAATGAAGATTAAAATCAAGTGGAATAAATTTGTAATTTAATACTGGAATTGAATACAGAACCTGTAATCGTGTTCTCTAATGACGCGTTCGTAACATTGAATATTTTATACAAATGTCTGACTACGTGCAATATTAAAACGAACGTTATATTTCAGTAGCAAAAACTTATCTCCTCAAAAAGTTTCCTTTGCCCGCCCAGCAGTTTTCAATTATGGCAACTCGGGTATGTTAATCTTAATATATATAAATAACGTGTCACGTTGTTTGTCCGCGATGGTCTCCTAAACTACTCAACTGATTTTAATCAAATTTGCACACCGTGTGCAGTTTCGCCCAACTTGAGAAATAGAATAGTTTTTTACCCATGAGTGACTCATAATATTTTTTTTTTTTGCGAATTTGAGGATTTTCAATAGGACATGACAAATGGTCGTCGAAAAGGGCAGAACAACGTCTGCATGGTAAGCTAGTTTTTTTTTTTTTTTTTTTATAGGATAGGGTGACAAACGAGCACACAGTCCACCTGATGATAAGTGGTTGCTGTGACCCGTAGACATCTACATCTATCCGAGATTACGAATCAAAATGCAGATGCGTTGTCACCCGTGAGGACTTAGGTGGAATGCCTCGTTTCCAGTAAAAAGCGTCTCCAGTTCTCTACACTTACCATACGAAACATAGCAGCATTAAGCTACTATTTCACGCTGGTGTTCTGTCAGAGCGTGGTCCTTCCCCGGTCGAGCCGACCCATTCGTGCTACAACTATACTACTTATATAACTGCAGCAAAAATTGTTTATGTTTGTGTTAGTTGATTTATATATTTACAGTTTATTGCATAATATAACTAAATTTATTAAGGGTGAACTAAATGTATTTTGGTATTCTCTTCTAATCATTCCGGAACGGGTTAAAAATGACATAGTAATTTATAAAAATGGCGCACTGAACGTTTTATTAAAAACGATAAAAAATACAATTTAATCGCAGGGAAAAAACTTTGACATTTCAGTTAGTGCGTTAGTTTTTTAAGCAACAGACAAAAGACAACCCAGTCCAACACAGTCCACCTGATGGTAAGTGGATGTTGTGTCGTAGACATCTACATTTATCCTCCATTAACAATCAAAACGCAGATGCATTGTCACCCCTTAGGACTGAGATGGAATGCCTCGTTTCCATTAAAAAGGCTCTCCGTATCTCTTCACTCACCATACGAAACACAGCAGCATTAAGCTGCTATTTTACGCTAGTATTCTGTGAGAGCGTGGTCCTTCCCCGGTCGAGCCGACCCATTCGTGCTACAACTATACTACTAATGTAACTGCAGCATGGCTCTACCACGTATAAAATGCATGTTCCAGAGCTAACGTATGCAGAGGCACGCTACCGACACAGGACAAACAACTTTGCAATAAAGCACCTGCTTTTTATAGAACAAATGTGACAAACAAACACACATGAGTTTTCGATAAGCGGAATCCTGCAGTCCATAGATTGATCAACAATTAAAATGCAGATACGCTTAGACTTGGTTACTGAGATGGAACGTTTCGTTGTTAGAAAAAAGGGTCTCCGGATTTCTCTACTCATTTTACGAAAAATAGCAGCACTATGTTGCGAGGACGTGACCCGCACGATTTTTATATGTACCTACAAGATGTAACTAATTATAATGTCATAAAATATGAGAAACCTTACAAAAATACAGTTGCAAAGCGTGGCAGCTACGCAAGTATTAGCCTATATTGCAATATTGCATATATTGCATGTATTGCAATATATGCAGAAAGTTTATGTTTTGCAGTGATATTTCAATAGGCTATTTTATACTCTGTATTTGAATGCAGTTTGTTCTACGTGAATGAACTCTTTCTCTGGCTATGAGTCTGTCTGGGTTGTTACCAATTCTTACCAATATCTGCCGCTAAGCAGCAGTGTACACTGCTGCTTCCGTCTGAAGAGTTTGGAGTGCCAATGTAATTACAAGCTGAGGCATTCCATCTGAGTCCTCAGAGGTGACAACGCATCCGCAATTTGATTATTTAATCGAGGATATATCACAGATGTTTGTCACCCCTGAGGACTAAGATTGAATGCCTCGTATACAGTAAAAAGTGTTTAAGATTCTCTATACTCACATAATATTAATATAATCTAATTATAATATAATTTGACAGGCCTGTTGGTCTAGTGGGTAGTGACCCTGACTGTTATGCCGGAGGTCGTGGGTTCGATTCCCACCCAGGACAAATGTTTGTGTGATGAGCACGATCATTTGTTCTGTGTCTGGGTGTAATTTATCTATAATATTTATGTATTTAGAAATATATAAGTATGTTTATCAGTTGTCTAGTACCCATAACACATGCTCTGCTTAGCTTGGGGCTAGATGGCGTTGTGTGATAGTTGTGGAATATTATTATTATTATTGAGGGGTATCTATATAGTTTTCTTATCTGGTTGGGTTCTATAAATATATAATTATAAATGAAAATGAAAAGATAAATATACATAAATATCAATAACATAAAATAAATATAAAAATATATAAATAAATAAAAGCCCAACCAGATGGAGGCCCTCGGCAGGGGAGACCAAACGGCCGAGGGTTAGGGGGAAAGGGAAAGAAACCGGCGGACGATGCGGGCGGTATCGAGGAGCACCGCCTTCTGCATTTGAGCCCGGAGCGGTCTGTTACGGAGTCCCAGTCACCTCAGATGACCCGAGAGGCTGACTGGGATTAGCCCATTCGCAGAGACGACTACAGGAATAATTTCGGTCGGCAGACCACCCCACATGTCGGTCACCTCTTGAGCCAGGTCCAGATATTTTGTTTGCTTGTCTGTTTCGGCTTTCACGAGGTTCTCGTCATACGGAATGGTAATGTCGACCAAAAATATCCTTGACTGTGCCCGGTCCATCAGCACAATATCAGGCTTATTCGCAAGAATAGTCCTGTCTGTGATGATGGCCCGGTCCCAATAGAGCCTGGCGCGATCATTTTCGAGCACGGCTTCCGGCAAGTACTTGTAATACGGCAATTTCCGATCCACGAGACCGTATTTCAGAGCGAGCTCCTGGTGAAGAATTCTGGCTACTAGGTTGTGCCTGTGCAAGTACTCAGAGTTAGAAAGCGCCGAACAACCGGAGATGACATGCCTAAGTGACTCACCGGGATGGCGACAAGCTCGACAGACGTCGGCAGTGCCATCCTTTAGGATGTATCTCCGAAGTTGTTGGTTATTATTATTATTTTGGGGTATCTATATAGTTTTCTCATCTGGTTGGGTGCTATAAATATATAATTATAAATGAAAATGAAAAGACAAATATACATAAATATCAATAACATAAAATAAATATAAAAGTACATAAATAAATAAAAGCCCAACCAGATGGAGGCCCTCGGCAGGGGAGACCAAACGGCCGAGGGTTAGGGGGAAAGGGAAAGAAACCGGCGGACGATGCGGGCGGTATCGAGGAGCACCGCCTTCTGCATTTGAACCTGGAGCGGTCCGCCACGTAGTCCCAGCCGCCTCAGATGACCCGAGAGGCTGACTGGGATTAGCCCGTTTGCAGAGACGACTACAGGAATAATTTCGGTCGGCAGACCACCCCACATGACGGTCACCTCGTGAGCCAGGTCCAGATATTTTGTTTGCTTGTCTGTTTCGGCTTTCACGAGGTTCTCGTCATACGGAATGGTAATGTCGACCAAAAATATCCTTGACTGTGCCCGGTCCATCAGCACAATATCAGGCTTATTCGCAAGAATAGTCCTGTCTGTGATGATGGCCCGGTCCCAATAGAGCCTGGCGCGATCATTTTCGAGCACGGCTTCCGGCAAGTACTTGTAATACGGCAATTTCCGATCCACGAGACCGTATTTCAGAGCGAGCTCCTGGTGTAGAATTCTGGCTACTAGGTTGTGCCTGTGCAAGTACTCAGAGTTAGAAAGCGCCGAACAACCGGAGATAACATGCCTAAGTGACTCACCGGGATGGCGACAAGCTCGACAGATGTCGACGGTGCCATCCTTTAGGATGTATCTCCGATAGTTGTTGGTCTTAATAACCTGATCCTGTATTGCACAGACAAAACCCTCGGTTTCCCCCGAAGAGATCACCAAAGCGTAGCCAGTGGAGGGAGGCTACTGTGTCTACGAAAGGCTCATATAGAGCCTTGAAGAACCTCCCGTGGAGCTCCTTCTCCTTCTATACGGTCTCCCGGTCGGAAATGCTCTGCACTGCCGGGTCTTGCCATTGCTCGTTGGCTAAGGATAGAGGGGTAAGTCCTTTATCACAAGAAATGACGTCCTTATAGAATGGATCATCCGATCTCGCCAGGAAGTAATCACGGAGGCTGCACACTTCGCGATTATGCATGGTGAGCGCGCTCAAGAAGCCACGACCACCATGCTTCCGCGGCAAGTACAGCCTCATTACCGACGATCTCGGATGATGCATCCTATGGGACGTCATTGTAGTGCGGACTTTTCTATCCAGGGCGTTAAGTTCAGTCTGAGTCCACCTGAGTATGCCAAAGGTATACATGAGGACAGGCATGACCCAGCCGTTATATGCGTGTGCCTTATTCACACCGGACAAAAGGCTGTTAAGCACTTTGGTCAAGCGTGCATAAAACACGTCGCAAACTGACTGTTTCATACCAGTCTCATCGATACCGATGTTTTGTGACATACCCAGGTATCGGTATGTTTCAGCCTCGGAAAGGGTCCTTAAGTTGACGGGTATAGATAAGTCTACGCCCTCAGAGTTAGCAACCCTTCCCCTTTCAACATGGAGGACCGCACACTTATCCGTCCCCAGCTCCATTCCAATGGAATTGCTAAATTCACAAGTGATGTTTAGCAATTCCATAAGATGGGAGCGACTGGAGGCGAATAACTTGAGGTCATCCATATAGAAAAGGTGGGTCACTTTTGTCCCTCCTTTCCGTAGCTGAAATCCCCTCCCGGAGCCCTGCAGTAAGGTACTGAGAGGGTTCAGAGAGAGGCAGAACCAGATTGGACTCAGACAATCGCCCTGGAAGATACCCCTTCTTATCCTTATGTGGTTCTCCGCAGCCATCATCCGCTCGCCTAGATGACAAAGGATCGTACTCCACTGCCCCATACACTGCTCGAGGAAGTCTCTAACTGCACAGTCTATCTTGTACAGCTCGAGGACTCTCTTTAGCCATGTATGGGGCACCAAGTCAAATGCCTTTCTGTAGTCTATCCAGGCGGCGGAGAAGTTCCGACGGTTGCGTTTCACCACTTTGCCAATGACCGCGTCAATGAGGAGTGGTTCCTTGGTTCCACGACCACCGCCCCGACATCCATTTTGAGCGCGCGACATCACCTGATTTGAGTCCAGGTGACAAGTGATTCTCGCGCTCAAAATGGATGTTAGTGTCTTGTATATGGTCGGTAGACACGTGATGGGGCGGTATTTGCTCGGGTCTGTGGTACCCTGGTCTTTAGGAACTAAATGAGTGATCCCAGTAGTGAAGAGGCTTGGGAGCGACTTCTGGTTGAGAGCCTCTTGAAACTGTCGGGCGAGCACAGAGTGACACACCATGAACCCCTTCAGCCAGTAGTGATGCAGCCCGTCAAGCCCCGGACTTTTCCAGTTCGGGGCCCTACGAACCGCCTCAGCTACGTCATCCGGCGTTATGATGACGGGGTCCATGGGCGTAATACCCGCACACTGACTCGCCACAACTTCCGTCCAAGGGCCCTCGCTGTGGTTTACGGGCTCTGACCACAGGCCGCGCCAGAATGCTACAATGTCGGCCTGATTCGGTGCTGGACCCGTTCCACTTACCATTGGTCGCTCCAATGATTCATGGAGCCTCTTGTGATCACTCTGGAAGAGACGATTCTGGTTGAACCGTGTCGACCTCTCGGTATATCGCCGAATCCGCTTTCCCCAAGCAGCGATTCTCTGCTTCAGATCATCTATGCGCTCCGTCAGTTTTTGCGTTATATCCGGCTGGGACAAACTGACATTTGTCCCAGCAAACGCCATCCTGACGGTGCGCACAATTCTTGGCCTGTTGTTGCCTGATCTGAAGCATATCAGTCTGCCGATGAGAGCTCTAGCCTTTGCGATACGTACATATTATTATTATTATTATTATTATTATTAATCACATATCTCTGCTATTTTACTTTTTAATATTAAATAATGTAATTTTTTTTGTAATATGGCGTTATCATTATGTGGCGAAACAAATACGTTTTTCCTCTCTTTTTATTCAAAGAGAACTCAAGATAGGCAACAGTAATGATGCCATTAGAAGCGACAGCTCGCCGCAACGATTATCTCTTTGTGATGCCGCGCTTGTGTTTCTGTACCGGCACCGCGTCACTACTGGTTTGCAGTGAAGTCATTCCCCTGTGACTGTTGGTGACAAAGCATTATCAGGAATACAGAATCAATCAGTGATCTATTGTAACAGTTAAAATTACTTAAAATACATAGTTTACATAAAGTACAGGCTGTGAGGCATTCCATGTTAGTCCTCAGAGCTGACGACGCAGCTGTAGTCTTGTTTGTTTAAAGGTAAGATTTTTTTACGTGAACAGCCACACTGCGGTTGTATATTATATTAGTGTATATTATATAGTATATTATGGTTGTAGCACAAATGGGTCGGCGCGACCGAGGAAGGCCACATTATAGTTGCTGTAGCTATAATATGACCTTCCCTCTACCGTCACTCTGCCACGTAAAATAATAATAGTTGCTCCATAGCACTCTTATAACAGAAAGAAATTACCTGCTCAGCAGGCATTGAGAACATTCAATAATTAAGAATTATTTCTTAATATTAATATTGTAAAATATTCTTTCAAAGTAGCATAATTTTCGTATTAATTAAGAATTATTCATTAAAGTGAACGAAACTTTGAGACGTATAATGTAAAAAAGTTTTTTCTGTAGCGGAGATTTGTTTTTCTGCCTATTTATTTTGAATGTATTAATAAATAAAACATTCGTTATTTAAAAGATATTTAAGCTATTAACTCCTAAATTGACAGCTAATTGGCGCAGTAACTTAGCAATTAGTATTTCAAAATAAACATATAAAATTGCAAATAATAGTTCCTGGATTGAAGAAAACTAGAATTTTAGTAACAAATTTAATGACGTGGCGGTCACAGCTTATTATTTAAAAAAGTCTTCATACAAAAGGCATTTTCAAAAGCCAGTCGTAAAGTTTCATTCCCAGCTGCGGCTTTAGCTTCAATAATGGTTTAATTGAAACCGTGGAGTCGTTTTCAAACGTTACAATTTGGCACGCAGACACAACCGATATTAAATTTGAACGGAGCGAAATGGTTAAGTGTTAAATGAGTATATAAGTGAGTATCATTTAGAGAAATTTATATATTGACTTTGGCCTCTCAATACATTTATAAAAGTGTAATGGACGTTTACAAAACTAAAAGTAGTTTTGCAAAAATAAGTGATATTCATTCTGTAAATACTAGGAACGGACACAAGCTGGTGATCTTCTGGTCTACCTAACTCAAAGATGGGCGGAGGCAGTAGAGTCAAAGGGGGAGGCATTGGCCGTTAGTTTGGACATTGCGAAGGCCTCGATCGGGTTTGGCACAAAACGTTTCTTACGAAGCTCCCTTCCTATGGGCTTCCCGAGAAATTGTGCGATTGGATCACCAGCTTTCTTGCAGATCGGAGCATCAAGGTAGTTGTAGACAGTGCAAGCTCCGATTACAAGCCTATTAATGCTGGTGTTCCACAAGGCTGCGTGCTATCGCCAACGCTGTTTCTTATGCATATCAATGATATGTTGCAAACCCGTAACATTCATTACTATGCAGATGACAGCACTGGTGATGCTCTTTACACCGGCCGTGCCAATATTTCTCGGGAAAACGTTTTCGAGTGCCGGGACAAACTTGTGTCTGAAGTCGAGTCTTTGCTGAACAGAGTCTCGGATTGGGGGCGACTAAATCTAGTCCAGTTTAACCCCCAGAAGACACAAGTTTACGCGTTAATCATTAAAAAGAACCCCTTTGTCATATCGGTACGGTACGGTAACCAGTCAAATGTAGTAAAATGGGGAGACGCTATGAGTGACCCCTACAAGCTGAACTGTGGAGTAAGGCAGGGTGGGCTTACGTCACCGAGGCTGTTCAATCTTTTTGTCAACCAGCTGATAGAGGGGCTGAGCAGAGCTGGTGTCGGATGCTCAGTTGATGGTGTCTTTATAAACAACATCAGCTATGCGGATGACATGGTTCTGCTTAGTCCTTCGGTCAGTGGCCTCCGGAAGCTACTTAAAATATGTGAGGACTATGCTGAGAGAAATGGACTCAGATACAACGCCAAAAAGAGCGAGTTCCTTGTGTTCAGGGGAAAAAACAAACCCACCAATTTTCAGCCAATCATACGATTGTGTGGTATTCCCCCTGAAACAGGTGGCGGAGTTCAAATATCTCGGCCATATAGTTAACGAGCGCCTCGTGGACGACGGTGATATAGAGAGGGAGCGAAGGGCGCTGTCGGTCCGGGGCAATATGTTGGCCCGCAGATTTGCGCGTTGTAATGCAGAGGTAAAATTAACGCTGTTTAGAGCCTACTGCCAGACTTTTTACACGTGCAGTCTGTGGGCGGACTATACGCAGCGGACCTTCAGAACTCTTCGTGTGCAGTACAACAATGTGCTGAGAGCGGTATTGGGGAAGCCACGTCACTGCAGTGCATCTGCAATGTTTGCGGAGGCTCGTGTAGACGACTTCTACGCGATCTTCCGGAAACGTGTTGCATCCATGATGGGCCGTTTAGTGAACAGCACCAATGCCCTTCTCAGCACTTTGGCGTGCAAACTCGACAGCCCACTCTGGAGGAGTTGGAATGGTGCACACACATATGCTAACAAGCGTGTGTGTATTTAATGTTAGTTAGTTAATCTTAGTAGTAGTTAGTAATTATATTTAATTTTAGTTAATTTTAATTTATTTTGATTTATTTTTAATTTATTTTCCTTTTATTGATTGATTTTTTCATTTTTTTTCTTCGTTTTGTTTTGTTTTTTCTTTTCTACTAACCAAATATGGACCCTGGTCTGAAATAAAGATTTATTATTATTATTATTATTATATCTCCTCAGTTTCAAGGCAATCCCCTTGTTGCCTCAGCCAGTATCGGAATCCTTGGCGTCGACATATCGAGTGACGTGCAGTTTCGTGGTCACTTGGAACAGAAGGCCAAATTGGCCTCTAAAAAGCTTGGCGTGCTCAGCAGAGCGGGACAGTATTTCATGCCGGCACACCGCCTGCAACTTTACAAGGCGCAGTTACAACAAGTCGACGACCGAGTGCTTTCCGATCGGCACGATTTACTGGCACTGCAAAGAGATGTTGCATCCCTTTGCATTTTCTTTTGCATCTACCACGGGGAGTGCTCTGAGGAATTGTTCGGATTAATCCCAGCCGCCAAATTTCGTGAACGCACTGCGCGGCAAACGTCCCGGTACCGTCCACACAATCTGGATGCTTGTCGGTCCACCACTGTACGTTTCAAAAGGAGTTTTCTTCCGCGTACAACCTCTCTGTGGAATAGTTTACCACCGGCGAATTTTCCGGACCAATACGACCTAGGGACCTTCAAAAAAAGAGCTTACTTCTTTCTAAAGGGCCGGCAACGCACCTGCAATTTCCCTGGTGTTGCGGTTGAGCGGAGAGGAATTTTGGGATAGCATGAGAGAGGTCTTGAATAAATGCGGAGAAAATGAACGGATCGTGATGTTAGGGGACTTTAATGGATGGGTTGGAGTAAAGCGTGATGGATATGAAGGAGTTCTAGGTATGTTTGTGGACGAGAGAGTGAATGACAATGGGAGAAACCTGCTTGAAGTATGCTTGGAATGGAATCTGTGCGTGGCCAACACAATGTTTGACCACAAAAAGATCCATTCGTATACAAGAGATGAGGGTGAGTCTAGAAGTATGATTGATTTTGTAATTGTGGATGAAAGAGTGAAGAAGAAAGTGCTAGACACTCGGGCATACCGCGGTATAGGCCTCGACATAGACCACTTCCTGGTCATAGCCCGAATGCGTGGCCTCTTTAAACGGTGGCGACACCGAGCCTACGAGTGTTTTGGACAGAGTAAAAGTGGAAAATCTACAAGAAAAAGAAAAGAAAGACGAGTATGTAGAGAACCTGAAAGAAAGTTTTAAAGGGATAGGAGAGATAGGAGTGATTGAAGATTTGTGGGAGACATTTCAGAAAGGGGTTGTAAATGTTGCGATTGAGGTATGCGGGGTAGCTAAAAGAAGGAAAGGGAGTAAGAATGATAACGTGTGGATGGATAAAGATGTACAAAGGGTTGCGCAAGAAAAGAAGAAAGCGTGGTTGGATTGGTTAGCAACAAAAGCTAACCAAAAAAGTTCAAAAGGCAACGGATGACGAGATAAAGGAAGCAAGAACGAAGTATAAAAGATTGAAAACAGCAGCGAAAGAAACTGTGTCTAGAAAGAAAGAAGAACGAAAAGATGATTTCGATAGGAGGCTCACTGAAGATTTCCAGTCAAACATTAAGTTTTTCTGGAAAACCATCAAAACAGCCAGAGGAAAAACTTCTACCTCGGAGCTGAGTACAATCAGGAGTCAAGATGGGAGCATTATAAAAGGAGAAGAATGTGTGCTAAAGAGATGGAAAGAGTATTTTGAAAGTTTGTTTGAAAGAGAGGAAGTGCAGGTACAGCATCTGCCACCTTCCACGGAAACGAATATAAATGTTGATGAAAATGAGATAAGCATGGATGAAATAAGAGTAAGGCTGCAGGGTATGACAGGATTACCGTCGAGATGCTGAGGGCTGGACAGGGCCTGGTGGCTAATCAGCTGTACCGCCTTTTCAATCTGTGCTGGCGAAATGGGCAAGTGCCGGGAGACTGGTGCAAAGCCGTAATCGTGCCATTGTATAAGGGAAAAGGGTCACGGCGGGACTGCATAAATTACCGTGGTATAAGCCTTCTTAGCGTCGTCGGTAAATTGTATGCGAAAGTGTTGATTGAAAGGGTTGTGAATTTTTTTTTTTTTTTTTTTTTTTTTTTTTTATAGAATAGGGTGACAAACGAGTACACAGTCCACCTGATGGTAAGTGGTTGCTGCGGCCCATAGACATCTACATCCATCCTCCATTAAAAATCAAAATGCAGATGCGTTGTCACCCGTGAGGACTGAGATGGAATGCCTCGTTTCCAGTAAAAAGGGTCTCCGGTTCTCTACACTCACCATACGAAATACAGCAGCATTAAGCTACTATTTCGCGCTGGTATTCTGTGAGAGCGTGGTCCTTCCCCGGTCGAGCCGACCCATTCGTGCTACAGCTATACTACTAATATAACTGCAGCATGGCTCTACCACGTAAGAAGAAAATGAATGAATGAAACAGACGAGAAAATATGGGATATACAAGCGGGATTTAGAAAGGGAATGGGATGTACGGATCAGGTCTTTTCCTTGCGGTGCATAGCCGAAAAGTGTTTGGCTAAAAACAAGAAAGTCTACTGCGCCTTCGTAGATCTAGAAAAGGCCTATGATAGAGTGGTGAGGAATGAATTGTGGTCAGCACTGTCCATGAACGGTGTGAGCAGTGTCCTCATACGAGCATTGCAATCTCTTTATAGGGATTCTAGTGCTTGTGTAAGGATAAACGGGACATACACTGAATGGTTTAATATCGAAAAAGGTGTTAGACAGGGATGTGTAGCGTCACCGTGGCTGTTTAATCTGTTCATGGACAATTGTTTGACAGATTTAAAAGAG